TTATTTAGATCTAAGGGAACAGTTATTCATTATAGAAATTTCTTAAACTTACAAAATCATTATTGAAATTTCTTAAACTTACAAAATCATAATTGAAATTTCTTAAATTTACAAATTCATTATTGAAATTTCTTAAACTTACAAAATCATTATTGAAATTTCTTAAACTTGCAAAATCATTTTGCTAATTTTTTTTCCATTTCCAATGCAGCAGGCGATATAGACATTATCCTAACGCCGTACAGAGATCAAAAGAAGAGAAAAATGCAAATACAGAAAGAGATGAAATATACAAAATACAAAAACAAAAGCAAAACATCAAAGACGAAAATTAAATCAAGAACTTAAATTGAACAAAAGTTCTCTGGCCTACCAGTATCCTTGTCTTTTGCTAATTAATTGTTTTGGATTTCATGTTTTAGTACAAATATAATTCCGATAATCTAACTGATATTTTAAGTAACTACTAGATTCTTTTTTATATTTGTTTTATTGATTATAAACAAAACTTTATATTATATTTGTTTTATTGATTGTTGTTTATGTTTCATAATTAGAACGTCAGAAAAATATAAAAGGGACACCGGTGACCTATCGGCGACAAAGGGCTAAGCTGAAAGAAAAGTCTTAAAGGATATTTTTGTAAGTTTTTCAGAAAAAAAAAATTTGAAATAGTTAAATAGTCAACTTATTACATTCTTCCTTGTCTTTCCTGTCTAACCAGTTAAATACTACTTAAAAAGGCCGTTACAATTATAAGTCTAGTTTCAAAACGATTATAATTTTATATTTATTTTTTAAAACTTGTTTCGATATTGTGAAATAATATGAAAAGAATTTTAATGAAAATGCTATGAATGTTCATCATTAAAATAAGAATTAAAATCAAAGCCAGGTAGCATTTTCAAAGGAAAATGAAACTTCGTCAATCGTTATGGTTGTCCTCAATATATAAAGGGTATAAATGGCAAAAAAAAGTAAAAAAGAGCATTGTTCGTTTTTCTATTCTCCATTATTTACTTTTGAGTTTCGCCAATCTTGTGCTATTTCACATCATGCCTCATAACAAATGCTAAAGTGACGATGAGAACTCGATTCTACGCAGAGCAATTTATTCTAAACTATGTCGTTTGTTGTAAATTCTAAACTAAGATTGCCTCTATATGAAGAAATAGTTTAGGTCTATATAAATATTAAAATTTTATTTTGAAATCACATTATTTATCATAAATTTTGTTGATAATATAATATTGATATATAATAGTTTATTATTTTCATTGATCGTTAATTAATAGATTTATTTAGTAACATTAAAAGTCAAAAGATAATTACGATTTCAAGCATCGGCAAAAGTATCAGAAGAATAAAAGTATACTATCAAAATTAAGTATCAATATTATCAGATTTTATCAAAATTCGATATTATAGAATATTTATCGGAATTTGATAGATAATCGTGTTGATACACTGCTTGATACTTTATAGTATCGTTAATAAATTTCGATTTTTATTTTAGCTTATTACTTTTTTAGTATAGCTTATACTGCATACCCCTTGGGCTTAGGTCAGTGGTTTCTTATCTTATAGTATAGCTTATTCTAAACTCTAAGCTAGAATTTCTTTTATAAAAAAGAAATAGCTTAGGGCCGTGTTTCTCAAACTTATGACTTTTGCGTACCCTTTCTAAATTTATCGTAAAGCTGTGTACCACTTATAAGAAATTGATGTATTTTTTAATATGAAAAATTGCATAAAAGTTAAAAATCACAACTGGCTGTTGACACTACTAATTATTAACTGATAACTCTGCAAAAAATAGCCAATAGAGAAATACGTAATCGTAAATTTTCATGTCTATAGCTTTGTTTTTAAATATAAATTTTTGAAATGTTCGTGTTTTTCAAGATATTTCGCATACGAATGCGTACCTCCTCTAAACTGTTCCAGTACCCCTAGGGGTACGCGTACCACACTTTGGGAAGCACTGGTTTAGGGTTTATATTTTATCCTGTATGAAAAATTAAAATTTTATTTTTCCGATTTGTTCCCTGAATCAAAAATTTAATTTAGCTTTTATTGATTTGAATTTAAAAGTATAATGTTTGAAGATTATCGTCTAAATTTTGAAAGAAAAGCTATTTTAAAGAAGGGACATTAAAAATCGAAAGATATATCGAAACAATAAAAAAAAAAATTATTGATACCATATATAATATCGAAACTAAGTAATGATGCTACTTAAGTATCGGATAGTGCTTGATACTTTATAGATTCGATATATTTTTGTTTTGGCTAATTGTTATTGATAGTAATATACTATTATCGATATTTATGTAATAAATGCTGAAGTGATGATGAGAATGTACTTCGATTCTATTCAAAGAAATATCATTCAATCAGTGCTGTAGTTGTAAAATCTGTACTAAAATTTTCCCTAAAGACATAAATTGAGCTTTATATTTTTGCTTCTATATAAATTGTAAGGTATTTTTAAGAAGTGATACTTAAAGTTGAAAAGGTATAAAAAGGAAATTAATTATACCACTGATACTACTAAGTATTGATACTGCGTGATACTTTATAGATTCGATATTAAATTTCGATTTTTGTTTTAGTTTATTGTTATTGATTTTCATACAACAAATGTTACAGTTTATATGTAGCTGAAAATTGTAATTCGAGTTATAATGATATTCTGAAAATCAAGAGAATTTGTGGAAATTCTTTTTGTTTTTATTCTAGATTTTGTAACTGTAAATGTCTATTGACGAGAAACATGATGTATGTCAAAAGCAGTTTTACCTATTTTTTTAAGTTTTCTTTTTTTTACATCCGTCGTTCAACAGCCAACCCAATTTCGGGTTTACGACTACTAATGTTCAACTCTGTAGCCTTGCAATTTCGAACCAATCCAGAAGACAAGGAAACTACTGGATCAGTATCCCCAGAGGTATTGATTTGTTATGGGAACATGGAGGACTTTGTGACTTGACAGATATAACGTGCATCTGTCACCATTTACTACACTGGGAGTCTTTGGCCGTCTGGGATCGAACCCGCGAACTCTTGGACATGAGCAGAGTGCCTTAATCATATTTTACATGTAAAATCTACTAATTTAAATTAATTAGATTGTTTTTGTTTTTTTCAAAGATTGCGAAAATATGCCCAATAACAATTGATAACTTTTTAAAATAAAATCCATAAACTGCGGACACCTGTTAACTACCGATTAGTTTTCGAGCCAGTCGAGAATTTTTTCAATAATGCTGAATTTTATATACGAAATTGAAAAGAATTTGATTAATAAAGTATCCTTATTGAGAATATAATAATAACATTTGATGAAAGTGACACAATTTATAAACAAATTATTTTCGCACTTACATGAAGTTATATTCCAAATTTTTTTTGAGTAAAGTATTTTTTGCAACAGTACATTTTTCAAGATGTGAGTTACAAACGTGCTATTAACACTTTTTTTTTTTACAGAATTTAAAAAATATAAAGTAACCTCTTTTTTTAAAATGGGTAAATTGCATCCATCTATATTTTAACAACAAGGGAAGCCACTTAAATTTAATCTTTTTTTAAAAATTATTACTTGATTCAGAAATGTGTATTTTTAATAAATTATTACTTAAAAGTAAATATATTTATTACTAAAGTTTTGAAGATATTGCTTTTTAAATTAAAGAATAATACTTGATAAAAATGACACAATTAAAGAAAAAAAAAATGATTTTAAAAGACTACATATTTGAAATCGTCTTCTGATTTCCAAATATATTTTTATTTTTGATTAAAATACCAAAACAACTTTTTATAATTAAAAATTCTCAATTTGTGTAAAAAATATGCTAATAGTTAACAAGTGGTGCACATATTTTTTTTAAAGGGTAAATAGTGAAGATTTTAAGTAATGTTTATGTAATTCCAAGTATTCTTTAATTTAGAACAATTGCTTGTAATAAATTATTGCAACAGAAAAATTTTTCAATTTGAAAGTTCTTTAGATATGAACTATTTTATAGAAAAATGCATGCATTAGCGAAACATATTTTGAAATCCTTTTACGAATTTTGATACTGTTGTAGGAAACTCCACACAGATTTAAACTTTGTTCAATCGTTCTTTAATTAAAAACAAAGACTCCGTAACTAAAACTCCATAAAATGTTGTTTGAGTTTAAAAGTATGAATTTCGTTACAAAAATTTAGTATTTCAAAGAGTGAAAAGAACACTATTATTAGTGGAAACGAAACTATAAATCACGCATATTTCAAAATCGTTTTTAAACTTTCAAGTACTGTTGAAACAAATTCCACGTTGACAGATTATTTAAAACTTTTTTTTAATCTTTATTATGCCTTTTATAGAAAATGCACCTCGACTAAAATACTTTTCCAAATCAAACGGTTTTCAGTCATCAGTTGTTTTACTGAAATATAATATTTCAAGGGGATAAAAAGAACACAATGTTTTGAACAAACGATTCTATAGATTTCGTATCTTTCAAAATTCTATTCCAATTTTTTTTCCAAATATATTTATTAAAATTTATTTTAAAAATGATTCTTTACTTTAAAGACAATGCATATTAGCTAAAATATTTTGAAACTAAAATGTTCGTTATATATGTGTTATTCTACTATAATATATCACAATTATTAAAAAAGATCGTAACAACATTTAGCAAACGATTCTATAAAACAGCACATATTTCAAAATTCTTTTTCAAATCTTTTGAAGTTTTGAAACACAACTGCTAGACAGATAGATTTTTTTTAAAAAGTTTTCCATCTATTATCTATTTTTTTTATTTATTTAGAAACAATGTATTTTTAGTAAAATAAGATTTATCATCAATTGTACTAAAGTATAATTTCGAAATATTTTAATATATAAATTCCAAGTTGTAATCCAATTTTCCATTCAACTGGTATAACACACAGAGCTAGATAGAAAAAATAAAATTAAATCGCTTGTAGCACACTTACCAACAGGTTCCCGATAATAATCCCTCAAACCAAATGTCGCGGGCTGACTAGTTGAGAGTCGCTTTTATATCAACTACGTCACCGATTGTTACTGCTAACCTAATTCGAAGATCGCGCGAGAACTGCTTTTTGAAGTGAAATTTTTAGAGAGTAAAATGGCAACGATTTGCCACTTTCGCAGAGAATTTTGATAGTTCGATACAATCCGTCTGTATTTTTCATGTGAGGTATGCAAAGGGCAGAGCCCCGCCTTTAAGGAATCTGCCTGGTTTGGCGAAGGTGGCCTTTTAGTTTTTTTGGCCTATTTTATGCATAGCCTTTGTTTCGGACACACTGTCACACAGAAAAAGGGTTTCCCTTTCTTTGTCGAATTTCTCAGTTTCAGCGAAGTTGAAATATTCATAAGGACGCCTACTTTTAGTTATATTGATACGCGTTACTTGTTTTTTTATTTTTATTTTTTATGGAGAATGATCTAATATAAATGACAATTGACTTCTGTGTATTTCTCTTATTATTAAGTAAATTTTTTATTGTAACAAACAATTTTGAAATAACTTTACATTTTTATTCTTTAAAGAACACCAATCAAAGAATTAACATTTGTATTAATGTTGCATAGTTATTTATTAAATAAATATATATTTTTTTGAATTGAAAATATAAAGTGAAAATAAAAGAAATGCTAATTCGCGAAATGAAATTTAGTTGAAAATGATTTGGAAATAAAATAGTTTTAGTTATATGCCTGATTATGAGAAATCAGTAAAACTCAAAGCAAACATTTTCATATGATTTTTCAAAAATAGTCGTTATGAAACAAAAATCTCACATACAATATCAGAACTTTCTAAATCGGCCAGAACATTTTAGATTGATTTAAAAGTCCGATACAAAAGGCATGTCCATGCCACTAAAAGCAAAGAAATTAATAAATGTCATTACACTTAACGCACTGCCTCCAAAGTATTAATATTTCACTAATATAATTTAGTACACGAACATTTAAAACATTACTTGATTATGTTTTTAATTATTAGAAATGCGTACTACTTGTGATATAAATAGCATTTTATGATATTGATAGTAACTACCTGGGATATAAATAGCATGCAGAATTTTTAACGCCGTAGATATGATATATGAGACGTAAATACAATTTTTATTAGTAAATAGTAGTTACAAGCTATTAATGTTAACATTTTTGCATACAGATCATTAACTTCTACTTTCATTATCTAGAATATCATTTTGAAACTGTTAAAAGTGTGACAATCCTTCTCTTCTAGTTAGCACTTTTCTTTTATAAATTGTCTTTTATAATGGCTGGATTCTCTAGTTCTAGTTCTACTAAGATTCGACGTAACTCAATATTTCTACAATCTTTTTGTTCAGCAAAAATTTTTGAGCATTGAAATTTTTTTTAATTTACAAAATCATTTATTGATAAATTTTCGAATATGAATGAAAAGAAACATTTTCAAACAACTTTTTTTGGATTTTATATTTTAGTCTAAATATAATTTAGATAATCTAAAGGACGTTTTTTAGTAATTAAAAAAACTTTTTTAAATAATTAAAAAAATACCAAAATATATTTTTGCTTGTAATTAGAGCGTTAGAAATAAATACATAAAAGGCACTTTGGAGCCCCATCTGTGTCAAAGGGTTAAAGTTTTCCTAAAAAATCTGATGGTTTACACAAATTTAGGTTTACACAAATAAGGTTGGAAACATTTGCTTTAAAAACTTTATATGTTGTTTCTCAAAGTCAGGACTCTCATCTTGTCATTGTTAAGATTGAAATGTAATAATAACTTCGATTAACATTTGAAAATTTTTTTTGTTAAAATAATTTCGAAATCCAACTCGAAGTACTCAACGATTCAGGAAATATGCATTTATATGTTAATAGTCTTTATCGAAATAAATTCTGACTTAAGGCTCAACGTGACTTTATCAAAGCTTCCGTAGTTTTTTTAAAACAATTTTAATTGGACGGACCTTTATTATCATCTTTTCTATGGAAGATTTTTAAGATCATAAATTATTTACAAGGATCATTATCTACAGAGTTTTTCTCATAATGATTAAATACTCCGATAAATAATTAATAAGATATTCTTAAACAATTGGTCTCATTGTAACATTTTATTATTATTATTTTTTTAAAGTGTTACAATAAGTATTGTATTATGGTGCTTTTCATAATGGGTCTAAAAGATTTCCTGTTTCGAACGAAAAATAAGAAGAAAGATTAGAAAAAAACGATTTTTAAAAATTAAATGATTGATAAGTATTTTGTTTAAAGTTATTTATTGCTTTGTTTTATTTTAGTTATTGACAGGTGATATATCACCGTTATTTCCAAATTTATCATGATGAATTAATTTTGTTTTAAAACTAATTCGTTTTGCAAGTGGTTCTTTTTTAAGAACAAAATAAATCAATGTGCTTCCGTTTTCGTTTCTTTAGTTTAATTTTCACTTCCCTGAGTGTATAAATGATTTCATTATTTTGAAATTTTCATTATATATGAAAACAACACATGACAGAATACTTTTCAACAAACGCTGCTGAAATTTTTATTTTTGCGAAAAATTAAGAATTTTCAAAGAAAGTTAATCGAGAAAAAAATTGTAAGTATTTTCGTTACAGTTTTTAAGTTATTTTTCTAAAGTGAATAATAAACAGTTTGATCATTCATCAACAATTTAATCATTGATCATTCATAACTTAATCATAAATTGAAACTGATATAAAATAATTTAAGAAACGACGTTTTATGCATCCAATTAGAAAATTTTAATTAAATTTTGTTGGAAAATTTTAAATTAATTGCATTCTTGGAACAATGTATGCTCTCTTGTATGATTTTACGTAATAAATTAACAAATCGGTGATGAATGAAATTTTTTAATAGTTTCAAGAATTTATTTACGTTAAGTTAATTGATAAGTACTTTGTTGATCAAAAAAAAAAAATCAGATTTAAGGATAATTTTTTAAAGTCAAGTATACTGCTTTATTTTTGCTGATTTTTTTTAAAAAAAATGTGGATATTTAAAAAAAAATATTTTATCACAAACTTAAAAATGTGGACTTAGTTTATAAAGCTTAATAGTTTAAACGTTAAAGGGAATGATTAAACATTAGAAATAATTTGTACAGCGATTTTTTCGTGCAAAATTATAAATGTAATATTTTAATTAACATCATCGAATAGTTTTAATTGTTATTTTTAATTCTTGCTCTTATATTTTTTTTTAAAAATCTGATGCAAAGTCAAAATTTTTAAATAAGTATACTTATTAATTTCCCTCCTTATTCGAGTGAAAATTTGTTTTAAAAAAAGAGGGAAAGTTTCAATTTGAAAAATGTGGATTAATAGTTTAAAAAGGTTAATAATTTGACGGTTATTGGAAATAATTTAACAACAGTAATGTTTTAACTTCATCAATTTCGGTCACATCCACCCTGAAGCGATTGTTTCGTCCACAATTATGAATTCTAATTTTTTAGCGGTGTTATACATTTGGAATGGGATTGAGTATAAACTTTTTTAAATTGTTCAACTACATGTAAACTAAACATACACCAGTCTCTGATGGTGTTGAATTATTTTTAAATAAGAAATGAATTGGTTGAATATTTTCTGAGTCACAACAATATGGAATTGTTAAAATTTAAAATCGTAAGTTTATGAATCAAACTTTAAAATATGATCATTGTATGAAAATATTATCATAATGGTTTTTTTCTTTACAATTTTTGCTCCGATTGCAATGAGCACTTTTTTTCAAAGTATTACTACACTTGTCGCAAAATGAATATTAAAAAACAAATATTTAAAATGAAAATTTGGCCATTCCTGTACTCATGGGAAAATATTTAGAAACTTTTTTAATTGCCATACTGTAAAAAGTTTCGGTTCGTAAAATTTGATTTCGTAAAAAATCAAATACTGTGCATTATCCCCAAAATCCATTTTACAGTAAAATCTATTTTGCTATAAAATCCATTTTACCAAAAAATCCCGTTTACCGTAAAATTCCTTTTACCGTAAAATCCATTTTTACCTTAAAATATTACATCTTAATTTTTGCAGTAATATTTGTTTAATTATAGTGATTCAGTGATTTGATTGTAATTATTACTGTAAAAATTGTGATTAGACTTTTTACCATAACTTGTTCCGGTTAAAATGAATTAACGGTAAAAAGTACTGGCACTCTGAGTTTTGGTATTTTTTCAGGGATTTGTTTGTAATTACCGTATTTACCGTTGTACCTATTTATCGTTTAGATTCCTTTTCTCAGTTTTCTTTAATTAAAAGTAATTTTATATTCTCAATAAATAAATAAATAAAACTCAATAAATAAATAAACAAAAAGTAAAAAGAACAAATTAAAAATTAAGAAAATGGATAGAACGTGTAAAAGGAACTTGATTTTATTACAGACAAGGAGATAAATTTATTGTTATGTAGGAAACTGTTTTTGAGAAACACTTTATTAAGAAATTAACCCTTTTGAGTTTCTAAGGAAACAACAATAAAATTTTTTTAAAACTTTTATTAGTATTAACTATAGGCAAATAGTTCACACATTAATTTTGACACCTTTATAAGTCTTATACAATCTTGAGCAAATCATGTTTTCGTGCAATTTGTACTACAACATTATGTAACCTAGCTTAAAAACTACACTGTTACAAATTCCAGATCAAATTACTGTAAAACGTATTCGCATCCTGAGTGCAACATTTGTAAAATCCATTATACCATAAAATTTTATACCGTAATCTTTGCAGTAATATTTAGCTAGTTATTGTGATTCAGTAATTTTACAGTAAATATTACTGTAAAAGTTACGGTTTATAATATTTTTGTTCCGTGTAGCTAAAAAGTATTGTCATCCTGACTGCCACTTCTTTTTACAGTTATTTGATACGGAGTTTTTTACTGAGAATTATAACCTGGTTCTGTTTCGTATGATATTAAGGTTGCATTAAATTGAACTGTATTATAATTTATTCTCCAAATTTTCTAACATTGCAGAATAACTTATAGGTTTGTAATCATTTTTTCTTTTTGCAGCAGTCTTTTATTGACATTTAAATGTTTTCCTGTCAATAAATGTAAATAATTATCTTAATTTTTTTAAAACATAATTAAAATAAATTACCTAATAAGAAATATATTTTAAAATAGATTAATTCCTGCATTTCTTA